CCAATTAATAATTCAACGAGGAGGGACGAAATAAATGTGGGCAGATTGGTGCAGTCTGTTTCGGGCTTATTCTCCCTTCAGTTCGAGGAAGGGCATATGAACCATTTATTAGACCCATTGTGTGAAATATCTGCGCTGTACTTAAGTTCATGTTTGTGTTTCCACTCCCAGCTGGTATTCAGGGTTTATGATTGGCTGGATGAAAACGAAAAGCCCGGAGCAGACTTTATCAATCCATCCGCAGTTTCCGTCTTCCCTCCTCTCTGCAATTATAACTTGATCTGATAGCTGATTGCCTGTTCGTGACCCCTGCCACCCACACAGAGCTTGTTTGGTTCGGTAAGTCAATGGATCGGTGTGCACTCCTTCCTATTGAATAAATACCCGATCTGCAGTGACAAAGAATGACAAGTTACGAAGCATTTCGGCTCGATCAAGTAGGCATCCCAAGAAGTATAATTCGAGTGAAATAAGCTTTTTGGGAACAGGTAACAAGCTTTATAATGTAAATGTGCGACGCTGGTTCCTCACGTCGTCTTCAGGCATGCAGTAGGTGTGCAGGAGAGTTGAAATTTTGAACGTGCCTGAAGAAATCGATAAGGCCTAGTTACCGTGAGTTTAAGTCTCGTTCGGAACTGCTGCCATCTGTTCCATATTTCTTTGAGATTGTTGTATACGCCGTTCACTTCGATCTGTCCATCTCAACCCCCGTTCATCGGCGTAAGACCCGAAGGACTCAAATTCGTTCACGTCGGATGCAAATACAACCTATTGGACAGACAGAGAGAGTGTGTCAAATGTGCATCAAGGGTGTATCAAAGGAGTGTCACAGGTGACTTCACTTATTTTGCCGACTGGACGATGCAGTGCAGAAGGAAAATGGGTGTACCAGCACCGCAATGTTTGTGTGGCTTTCCACAATGTTTAGAGGTATCACGTTGAAGATAGTGAGTTCTTCTGTCTCCGAAGTACTTACAAAATCTGTCACGCGCAACGACATTGATATAGCGGAGTTAGGTCGAGTGCACATATGCTCACGTGATCAGCGAAGCGAAAACTTTGGATATATAAGACTATTTGTGGTACTTTGCCAGGTGGAAAAAATGTGTCAAAAATAGCTGTAGTAGGCGTAAGAAGTCTACCTTGAGGAAAAATGAACTGTAAGCTTTTACGAGAAACTTTATGATTCCACGAGCGTTTGATTCGCTCTTTCCCAAGGCCTGAGTTGGAGGAGAGATTTTGTTGAGAAACTAACAATTTAATATTAGAAAGGAACCGCTTATGTGCAGTCCCTTCCTCGGAACGGGAACAGGAACAACTCGTGCTAAAGGTGGCTTTGCGCTGACTTTCAGGTAAATTTAGGTGAGGGTTGGGGTTAGTGTTAGGGTTTGTAAGGGTTTGAAGTAAGGTTAGGCTTAAGGATAGGGTTTATGACGCAGGAATATCTACTCCTCTTGGAATTTAGCACAAGGTCACGTATGTAGCGCGAGGAGGCCTATGCTCGTGCCTTGTCTGTAGTTGCAAGTTTTGCTATTGCTATTAGTCATTAAGTTTACCACTCTACCAGTGCACCGCACTACCATTCGACTCCATCATATGACTTAAGTCGCTAAGCGACTGCCAGCGATCACTCTAGCATGAGCCTCAAGGCACAACGCGACAAGTATGATCCCTAATCAGATAGCTCGGATGAGCAACCTACTTCCATCATATGCCCGAGCGCAACCGACAAAGCAACGAGCCCGTGGTGCAATAGCAGAGTGGTAAATTCAATGACCAAAGATCCCGGGTTCGAATCTCGGGTGATCCGCACTTGGAGTTGGGTATGACTGGCTGATGACGGTTAACAAGCCAGAAATGGCTATTCCGGTCTCCCTAGGTTTTGTCGGTTGAAAGGTACATGTCCCAAGTAATATAAGTTGAAGCCGAAATTTATGTCCCCCACTGATGACTGCTTTTTGGTAGTTTAATGAATATTACGTGGTTATCCCGCTTTGGGGGATAAAATGTGGCCTAAGTATTCATATCAACTTTCATTCTAGATGTTTGCTGCTTGTCCGAAATCCGACTTCTGACTCAGGCGCTCAGGAAATAAAGGTTGCTGGAGCTGATTCCCACTTCACCTTATACCACAGTGACCCACATGACTCCTCCGGTGGACATGGTGTGGCAATCGCCCACTCGCAACAAGCGAGCCGTGCACTACTTGCCTGGGAACCAGTCAATGAAAGCGTGGCTTATGTGCGCTTGAAGGGCCACTTCACAAACAGATCTGTCGTCGCATTAAATGCAACAACATCCGCTGCTGACCAGCGTGATAAAGAGGTGTTTTACTCACAGCTACAGACATTGCTTGAAAGGCTTCCTCACCGCGATCTGTTGATTGTTGCCGGGGATTGGAATGGCCGAACTGGGCCGGGT